GTTATTATTATTATTATTATATTATATTATATTATTATCATTTATTATTGTTATTATTAAAAGGCTAATTAAGTTAATTGCAATTAAATGGATTTACGGGTTAATCGCGAATTAACTTAGGAGTATTATTTTTTACAAGCAAATGATTACAAAAAACGGTTAGTTCCATATTTGGAATGGAAATGAATTGTGAATTTTGATAATTTTATTAACAACTGATATTGTTTTGCTAATTTGTGGTACGGTAATCAATATCGACCATAGTTATAAGAGTGTTGGTGTCTTCAGTAAGCCGCCCCCACTAGCCATGCGCCGCCACCTCTTCAAACCGCCTTCGAATGGACAACGGTCAGTTGTGAAAGACCGGTCAATCGCAACATATACCGGCGTCGCGACGCCGATTCGACACACCGAATAATGTGATAGTTAAAAGTGAGCTTTTCAACACAAAACGTGAAAACCCAATATCGATATTAAAGAAAATTATTTTTGGATTAGCTAGAATCGAAGAATAGAGGATAGAAAGTTTATTTTTAGTCATAATTAATTAATCATAGGCTATTGAATCGAATTATTAGAGCAATAAATAGGTTTTTTGGAATTGGAAGGCTGAAAAAGAGACTGTCGAAATGTTTTATTATTGAAATTGTAACCGATGACCGAGTTAGCGATGCCTCCAGTAGTTTCGATTTCTTCGGACGAAGTCGACGATGATGTGGCCTTCAAGGTCCTCAACCAGGACAACCTCCCAATAACCATCATCGGCGAAGCAATCCTAAAACCCTTCGGACGCGAAAATCAAAAACAGAAACCAAACGGGATTGTCTACCCAACTCGACGCATTGACACAAATTTAGAAGAAAACAAACAAAAATCTTTCACCAGATCCAATGGCCATATTAATACCACTCAAGACAAAAACAACTACAACCTCAAGAAGAATTTCAGTAATTCCCACGGGAACTTGACGAGCGCTACCAAAACCAAACCGCAAGAACAAGTCGATACCAAATTCACCAAAACGCTCGATGCTAAATTGCGGAAGCTCCAGAAAGAGTCGAAGAGTAAGAATGATAATGGCAGGAAGCCGTTTGTTACGACTGTGAAAAAGGGACTGTTTTTGGAACCGCCGCCGGAAATAGCGACTCTGATTGGGATTAAAGTGGAGGAATCGAAGCAGAAGGAAACGAAGAAGTTGTATGCGTATGCGAGCGAGCCGAGGGTGTTGAATAGAGCGCCGGCGAAGAATGTTCACAAGGCGAAGTGCGAAGCGGCGGCGAAGGCGGCGGCATGCGTGGTGGCGAGCGTGGCGGGGATTCAAACCGATTTAGATGTTAACAGTAATGTCAACAAAAGAGCTTTGTAAGTTTCGAAGGATAATTGTGATTTCTATCAAAATACAAACAATGGCTTCCAAGTTTTATCAAATAATTAAGCTTCACTGAAATTGTTAAAGAATTATCATTTTGAGAACTTGTTTGTAAAAAGAAGTAATTTGAAAGATTAAATTTTAAAAACTTTACTATCAAGTAGACAAATCAAAGTTAAGAATTATTAGAAAATAATTTTCAAAATTTTAGTTTTTATTTACCCGGCGCCTCCACCATGTTTTAACAATTTTTCTCAGGATTTTAACTTAAATTCGGAGAATAATTACTCACAGTGTTTGTTTCGTGTAAATTAAAATGAAACGCCGTCTGGTATGCAAAATTTTACTGAAATTACATTTCTGAGAAATCTATTTATTCAAAATTGCACACTGTTACAAAGCTGTAAAATTCTTAAATCCGATTTCGTGTTGGCCGACTATTGACCCCTGTATTTTGTTCTACCAAAGTTTCTCTTTATATATTCACGAAACGTTTCTAAGACAAATCCTCATTTGAAATAAAATCCGAGCTGACCCGATTTCCGCTAAATAATGTAAAATGTGTCTGTTTGAGAACAGGAAATGGCACTAGGCCACTAGTGGTGTTATGCCGTATTTTCTTTTACAACTTCTCATGAATAATAAATGATCAGATTGTATGTATAGTTTTCCCTTCAATGTACATAATAATGGTTTTTGCAGACTGACGTAAAGTTTTAAAGTTTCATTCAAGGTAAACGTAGATCTGGGTTATGATTATTTTATGACAAAATATCGATTAGTTCACTGTACTCGAAAAATGTTTTTCATATTTTTCTTATCTTTGGTTTAAAAATTTTAATACTAAATTACATACACGAAAGCTGCAAAGTAATTTAATAAAATGAGGATTTTCACGTGAGTGGAATTAATAAGTCGTGATAATTGGAAGCTTCTTTAATTAAATTGCCACTTAAGTTTATTTGATTAGCATTTCAAACAGAAAATATTGTTTTCAAGTTATTTTAAAATAATTTATTAAAGAATTGTTCGTGTCATGATTAAAAAATATGCGGTACAGTCATGCCAAAATGTGCTTAACATGATAAAAACACATTTGACTTTATAAAGTGTGGTAATGTAATCTCACGATTTATACAATTTTTTTTCAATATACAGTGGAAAAAATTAGCTGTAACGAGTAAATCGTCAGGCCCCTTGCCGTTTTGTATACTACTCTATGTAAAATTCTCCTTTTATAGCGAGTATTTTTTGAATTGAGGTGGATATAACAAAACTTTTATTTTGTCCAAGATCGGTAATAGCGAGAAATTTTGAGAAATTTCGGAAACAGATCGGTTATAACGCGAGTTCCTAGAAGAAATAAAAATCCCCTCCATTACGTATTGTGTACCAGAATTATTTTGGAAATGTTGTTTTTGCGCACTAATGGTCTTATTTTTCTCACTTTCTCACTCTTGAATAACTTTTCAAGCAGACAATACTTCGTCTTTCTGTATCAATATGTCGTCCTCGAAAAGAAAAACGTTTTCTATCAAAGAAAAAATATCAATAATAACAGAGTTTGAAAGTGGTAAAAAACAAGCTGTAATCTGCAAAGAAAAAAATTTAGCCAATTTTACATTTGCAACAATTTTAAAGAACAGAGACAAGATTACGAGTTCAACTGGTGAATTTTCGTCAAAGATGAAGAAGTATATACTGCTAAAAATGCTAAATTAGATAAAACCGTTTTTAAATGGTTCAAAGTGAATTACGAATTCAATGTGCTCATAAGTGGGGCCAAGTTAAAAGAAAATTCAGAATAATTTGTAGAAAAAATTGGGGTTTCTCTAGAGATGAAATTTTTTGTTATAGGATGCTTCCGCTTAACCACGATGTTTTTTACAATAGTCTTGTACAATTGGAAAGTGCAATTGATAAGATAAAAATGCATCATTACGAAAAACAAACAAAAATTACAGACTTTTTTAAACTTCTTTAATATTCGTATTTAATAAAATAAATTGCATAGTACATGTTTAAAAACTTTTTTATTATACCTGCATCATAATCCTAAATTAAAACACGCTGCAGCATGCGTAATTTGGCCTTTATAGCACGCTGAAATTTTAAAGTTGTCTAGGTAACAAGAAATAGTGAAATGTCTGGACCAATTACAACGTAAAAAATGTGCTTAACAACGTACGAAAACGATTCACGATTCACAAACAACCTTTGATCATTTTATTGTGTAAATTCACATTTTTTCAATGCTCATAAAAGATCGTAAAATAGCGTATAACACTCGTTTATAAGCGCTTTTAAAACACTTACGACGTTAAAAGCCCTCCGCTGACGCGTCGTGCTCCTAAACCCGTCGTGCGTGTTATAAAGGCTTGCTTATAAACTAGTATTATAATATACTATTATTATCTATAACTGTTTATAACGAAAATCGGTTATAACGAGCAAATACGTTGGCTCCTTGAGTTCTCGTTATAGAGGGGTTCTACTGTATTTTGTTTGAAATTATATTACGAATGTTGCTGGCTTATATTGGTACAAGCAATATCATTATTTTAAATTACTTATTATTTTTAGGCACTATATAAACTTTTATAATTTTTTTTTGTTATTTTACTTTTGTCTCAGAGAGAAAACATAATTGATCACTAGCCACGTAACCCAAACCCATATTTTGTGAAGGCTCTGTATTTAATTTCTTTAAAGTACTGAAACTTGTAGTTGAGTAAGTACTAGTTAAAAAAAAACTTTAATTTAATTTTCAAAAAACAGGAAATTTGGCAATACTGTGTATAGATATTATATTAGCATGTGTAAATATATCCCCATAAACCAAAATATTAATTCGAATTACTGAATCTTACTTCTAATTATTTTTTTGTGATCTACAGAAGTAAAACGAAGTAAACAAAAAATTCTCTTTATTTAAGAAACGGTGTAACAACAATTGAATTTTAAAAACACTCTGTCGCTTTGAAACAAAGAACCAAATATTTTTAGGCTTCAAATTAATGTATATTTTGTTACAATAAATATATAAAGTTTGAATATTTTTGGGACACTCCCGTATAAGCACAGAAATCTTACATTTTATACTTACTCATTAACTTTTTTTTTTAAGTTTAGACAAAAATTTCATTCCGTAATTCTAGACAAGTGTGTAAGCCAATATATTACGAAATGAACTGAAAAATTAGAATCTCCCCAAGTGAAAGTTCATTAGACTTGATAGTCAATATGCTGGTATATTTATAGTTACAAGCTACTTATAGTTAATAACTTTTCTTATGAAATAATAATGCTAGCCTTAGTCTAAAACTCAATAAACTCTAATGATTTTTCTGAGCTGTCTTTTTGTGTAAAAGAACAAAACAAAGTCAACATAATACAAAACGTGGTAAAACATGTTTTAATTTTAAAGTGGTGCTCAAACTTGCATTCACGTCAATGAAAAGAGATACTTATGAGCAGTCATGGCCGAGCGGTTAAGGCGTCTGACTAGAAATCAGATTCCCTCTGGGAGCGTAGGTTCGAATCCTACTGACTGCGACTTACCTTTTTTTTTCGTTTTATAATAACAGGCTCCACCTCGTTAATACCATTATAGCTAATCTCCCATCTTTAATCAAAATCAATCATGCTGTTGCTATTTTAGGCGAAATTATGACCGGAAAATCCGGACAATCAGTAATTTGAATCGATTGCCTATCAGTTACTCATGCAGATTAACAGATAGTTCAAGGCAATCTCATTAAAAACCTAAGAAGTCAATCATCATCAGAATATCGAAGAGGAAGGAATCTCATCGCGTGTTTGGCTTTAAACGTTCTGTTTTGGTTTTACTAGAACCGCCCTTGACTTTGACCGACTTTTACATCTCGATTAAACATTTACAAAACTAATGGTTTATTTATTTGTTTTGGTTGTTTCAGAGATGTGCCTTTGCCCTATTCGAATCTCATGTTTGACAGGAGGATTTGTAGGGGTAGTAATTTCGCTCCTACATTATCCGGACACATGGTGAGTATCATTCTAATTTTACGTTTTTCTGATAAGGGAATTCGGTGATTTTTTTCCAAAATTTTTTGGTCTTGTTGACCTTTTTGGCTAGTTAGAAATTTGCCTTGAATAATCGGACATTTTAAAATGTAATCATTGCAACGCAGCCAAAATGGAATCCGAATTTTGCAAACGCTAGACTCCTGTCGCAGGATAAGGTACGTACTGAGATAAAGTCACTATTTATAAAGTGGCGATTATTTTGCTTTTGTCCTCAATCAGTGTCAGGGCCGCGCCAACCCTGGTGCCAGAGGTGCACCGCACCAAGGGGGCGGCACAAAGATTTTGTCTAATATTTTGGTAATTACAAAATACATCAACAATGGTTTCAAAGCTGTAAAGCTATAGTTCGCATCCGCGAATAAATTTGATTTTTTTCGCAACATTTGTAGAGAGTTGGTAAATTTTTTAGAGAAATTGATTCATACAGTAAAAATCTATATAAGAATGATTTTCTTGTCCATTTACATTTACTGTTTCGACAGTCATTTGGCACCATATCTTAGCCAAAATTAATGTTGTTAGCAATATATTGCTATACACGTATTATTAGCATTACTACTTACATGCGTAGAGTTTTTGGAAAATATTAATAAATATTTAGAAACAAAAAGGTCAGAGAGAGAATTTAACGAAGTACTCGTAACTGCAAAAAAATAGCTACAGATTTAGAGACTGAGCCAAGCTTACCAGAAGCTTCCACCATTAGAAAGAGGTCAAAAAAAAGAGAATTTTTGTTTATAAACATGGTGATGAACCAATTTCAGATGCCGAAAAAAACTTTAAAGTCAATTTTTATTTTTCAGATACCGCGATTGTGTCATTAAATGAAATGTTCAATGACACTTTTAACAGGATTTCAATTATTATGATAAAAACACCCGAATAAAATATTGCACAGATTTACTAATAAAACTAAAAACTGACGGGATAAAAAAAAACATTAGGGAGGTAGATTTAGTGGATGAATTAGAGGTAATTGCTACAAGTAATATAACCACCCCACTTCAAATACTGGTGTATATTTACAAAGATACCAGGTGAATAAAAAGTACGGAACCAAACGTTTTTTGCTTAAACTATTTATTTTTTGAAAAAACTAATTGATGAGTGCTAAAGTACTATAAAAATGTGATGATTTAACAAGAATAAAATTTTTCGAAATTTCCTTTTATTTTTGAGTTCTACAAAAAAAATAATTTTTTTAAATGGCAACCCACTATAAAATCATTTTTCTCATAAAAGCTATACTCTAAGGATTACAACTATCTGCTTTATTTTTAATTTTTTCGAAAAATTTTTTTCACATAAATTGCAATTTTGACAAAAAAAAATCGCATAACTCAAAAACAAAACAAAATTTCGTTCTGAAATTACGATCACATTTTTTATATTACTTTAATTTATATTAATTATTATTTTATGGAGGCAAATGATTAAAAATAAAACCGCTTGGTTCCATACTTTATATTCACCTTGTATTTTGCAAATATAAAATCATTAAAATCTTGCCATTATACTTGTTTGTACTCTTAGTTTTTTTTTTGCAAATACGAGTATTGTTGTACCTACGTAGATATTTTGTTATGTACTGTTTTGTTTATCGTCGGCTGGTTAAGTGATTAAATTTGTTAATTTTCACGTTTAAATTTAAATTAAATAGGCGTCGGTGGTACCCAGCGCGGCCCTGATCAGTGTCATCGACAACTGTTCAATTTAGTCGCTAAAGCATTCCTTCCCGGTGACAAAATAAATTTCACTTGAATCCTCAACAGAAAAAGACAAATTGCTCATTTTATACTTTGTTTTCAAGAAGAAATCACCACGTCCTCCCTCATTATTTCTCTAAATTTTTGACGACATGCCAGTAATTGTTCGATATTCTAACTGCTGTAAATAGCCCATCACTCCGCCTCCACAGCTTTAGGAAAATTCCCACAATTCCGCTCGATACTCGTCTATTTTCCACCAATTTTTCAAATTTTCACCCAGGGTGACGGCGAGTCGGCTGCAGCTCGCGCGGCCGAGGCCCGAAGACGTGCCCTTGCTCGAAGAAAAGCCAAAAACCAACAAGTTCGCGCCACCCAATTGCGACTAGGATCGCCGCCTCCCGTCCCGGGAAGAAAACACGAACCCGTCCAAACCGAGATCTACCTCGAGGAGATCTTCAACAATCCACCCACGTCGGACATCTGCACACAAACCGAACTGTTCCTCGAAAGACCCCTTTCGCCGTACTATGTCCCTGCTAAAGTGGGAATCGATGCGGAAACGCAGATTTATCCAGGAGATGTGAGTCGGTGTTTTTCCCAGTTTGGTATATTAAAATCTAGAAAAATTGAATTAAAAATAGCTGAAGTTGCTTTATTTTGGAAGAAAAGTATTATTTAAAACATTATTGTGTTGTTCTATTTTGATTCAGGTTAATTTCCGGCTTAAGATAAAGCCAAAGCCGCTTGAGAATATCACAAATTGCTTTATTTCAGCCTAAAATTCGGATTGAAGAAATTATTTTTACAAAATACATTAATTTCGAATTAATTCAGCATTAAAATCGAGAAAAATTGAATTGAAATATCGCAAATTGATTTATTTTAGAAGAAAACTCTTACCCAAGCTAGTATTTTCTTGAAATAGCTAGTTTGGTGGTTTCAGTTGTTCGATTTCGATATGGAGGTGCAACCGATTTTGGAAGTTTTGGTTGGGAAGACGGTGGAACAAGCGTTGATTGAGGTTTTGGAGGAGGAGGAGTTGGCAGCGTTGAGGGAGCAACAGAGGAGGTTCCTGGAGATAAGATCTGCGGAGACTGCGGAAGCCCAAAGATTGGAAGAGAGGGAGAGGAGACTGGCGAAGGAAAAAGACCGGAGAATTGCGGAGTACGAAGACGGATATCGGTTGCAAAAGGAAATGGAAGAGAGGATAGCAGCGTCGGTGTTGATGCAGGGTTACATTTCAGATTTGCTTCCGTCGGTTTTAGAAGGATTAGAAAACGAAGGGTTCCTCATGGATAGTATTAAACAAGGTGAAAAACATTTCAGTCAACTTTTACTGAGTAATGAATCGAATTTCAGATATCGACGAGTCTTTCATGCCTTGGTTGATGAAAGAAGTCACGCACGAACTGAAGGATATAGTTAGCAGTCGAGACGTCCTCACAGGTAACCAAACTAATCAGTAATTAATAAGGCTCGGTTTATATGTAAAAAGCATATTTGTTATTAAGAGGTATATCAGCAAAATTATGCATATCTAATGTTTTTTGATTAAAATAAGCCAAATAAAAAATGCATATTTTCTTCAAATCACAAATTTCTGAATAAAAATTTCAATTCAAGTTAAAAATTGGACAGTCTAAGAAAAATGATCCTATTACAAATTTTTTTAAAGAGAAAACAATCGGTAATTCGTAAGCCAGACTCAAAAAATTAGTATCCTGCTGAGTGTTTCATTTTTAAATTCGTTTTATACAGGATGGATATGAAGTATCGGACCAAGCGGTTTTTTTTAATCATTTGTTTCCAAAAAATAATAATTAATATAAATTAAAGTAATTTAAAAAAAATATCTTATTTTAAGAACAAAATTTAGTTTTGTTCTAGACTTATTCGACTTTTGTTGTCAAAATTGCAATTTATATATATTTTTTTAATTTAATATAAAGTAGATAGTTGTAATATCTTAGATCATGACCTTCATGAGAAAAAAGTTTTTTTTTCGTAGGTTGCCATTAAAAAAATTAATATTTTTGTAGAACTTAAACACAAATAAAAATTTCGAAAAATTCTATTTTTGATAAAACATTATTATTATAGTACTTTATAATTTATCAATTAGTTTTTTTTTAATAAATACTTTAAGCAAAAAACATTTGGTTCTATACTTTCTATTCACCTGGTATAAAGTATATACGTATAAGTATTTATTTATTTATTTATTTAAGTAGTTGCCTGCAAATGAATTTTATCAAAATTGTTTAAAGTGATGTGATCTGAAAAGTACAGATTTTTTAGAAAAGCTTAATTACTAGGTTATTAAAAAGGCTTATCTGAGACAAAACCAATTTATTTATTCTCTTTTGTGCAGCAAGATGCCGAAAATACAAAGTTTAGTGTATCTACTCGAGGACAAAAATTTATCCCAATTGTTATAAGTTTTGCATATCGATGCCTATTTGGCATATATTGGAGCATATTTCTTAATATCTTCTGCATATTTTTGTGAAAATACGTGCATACATGTATATGCGCATAATTTAGGAATTTTTTGTGCATATAATTCGAGCCTTAATAATTAATAACATAACGAACCCTTTTAGACATCGTTCGAGAAATCCTCGAAAACCGAGCCGAAATCTACAAAGCCTTAAACCAAACCCCCCGATCTCCTCCGAGCGAAGAGGAAGAGGGACCCACCCATGAAGATATCATTCTCGCCGACCACCTGAAACTGCAAGAAGAAATATCGAAGAAGATCGCCGAAGAACAACCCAAGGAGGACTAATGGTATGATTCATTCGTCATAACTTAATAAACCTTATTCAAAACAAATTATCGTATTTTCGCAAACCGTGACGATTTTTTCAATGGAAAAATGCGCCCCAGTGGACACCTGTGGTAGCGCGACCAATCGCCCCACTGATGCACACCCGTTTCAGTCACGCGGTGATCCGCACAACCACCCTTGATCTGATTGAAAACATGCCCCGATGATTGTCGAGGGGTTGATTATATTAAATTCTTCTGATCGGCTTGTTTCTAGTGGTTTTGTTATGTAAATGGACGAAATTATTTTTGTTTCAGGATTATGGAACGGGAGGGTGAAGAGTCGCAATTTTTCAATTTATTAGATGCACGATTATACACTTGTTTTATTTTTATTGTATAAATATTATTGTACATGTTGGAAATCAATAAATCTATTGTTTATTTACTAAATCACAGAGTTTTTGTATCAACAATTTCCGATACTCCAAAAAATCAATAATGTGAGGATCTAAGCCAGAATTTTGCAAAATTTTCTCTAATTCCTTTAAATGAAACTGTAATAACCTTAGGCACAATTGGACCAAATAATGTTCTAGAAATTTCTTAGGGTAATCATCATTATAAATAACAGAAGTCAAATGTTTCAAGTCAGTAGTACCAAAAGCAACAAAAAGAAATGCTTTCAAATTAAATGACACCCCTGCTTCACTTATACACAAAGATTTGTCTAATTCATGACTACGAATAAATTTATACTGAAAATCGTCCAAATTCAGCCCCAGAACCTGAAAAACTTCTTCGGATTGAATCGGAATGGAATCGTTCGAGTTTCCCGGTATAAAAAACCCATACTCCACCAAAAGCTTGATATTATCATGGTCCCCGTATGAAATAAAGACTTGTTCGTGTTTCTTCGTCTTGCCTAAAGTAGTTAGCTGGTAGACAAGTTTCCCGTTTTCATTAATCAACTTGGCTTCAGTTTTAGCCTCATGGCTGTGGTTAAACATATCCAGAAAGGGGCACAAGGCCATACAGGGCTCATCTGATAGAATATCACTCTGGCAATCGCATAATTTGCGAACAATTCGAGGGTTGACGTAAACAGCCCTAGTATTGACCAGAACGTACCCCCAAATAAACGAATGCAAGTCAATCACGCAACTTGCCTCCCTTATTGATTTTCTTACCCTCGACCAGCTTTCCTCGAGGAGTCTTCGTGATTTCTTCGCGGCTAATCTCAAATCAACCGGAAGTAATTCAACACGATCCTGTGACAAGAGTGCGGGAATCCAGGGAGGTTGCGGGGGCAAGGATTTTATATAGTCCTTCCAAAATGAGGTTTCTTTGCCCCTTTCAACCACCAGAAATGCGGCCAATAAGTCGAGGATTGATAGTCTACTCTGGGGGGCAAACAAGTGCAAGAAATTCGACTTTTTGAGGGTGGTGTAAGTTATCATTAGTTCGTACGGCACTGTGATTAAAACATCGCTTGCTTTGAGACTTCGAGGGGTTGCTACCCCTCGACCAGTGTCGGGAAAATTGCGCAGTTTTAAGCTAATTGGGTCGTGAAAACCGTTGCGTGTCATGAATTTTCTCAAGTTAATTGCGTTTTCTTGGTGATCTAAGGGTTGGGGACGCTGGTGTAAATATTTGGCGCGTTTGCGCCCAGTACGGCCCATGACACCCCGCCACTGGTGACGTTCCGAAATAACCTCACTTTCAAGTCACTGCACACATTTGTGGTATTTAAAACTTGTAATTAGTCATCACACAGTTATTAACGCTAACACAGGTAAAAGAATACCTTTTGCGTTCATTTCACCGGTTATTAACATTAAATTGAAGTGATTTCAGCACGATAACTGTCATTCATTTCTAACCTCACTTTTTTACAAAAAAAAACATGGGAAATGCCGAATTGGATATAATTGATGGTGCCGATTATGTAAATCATTACAAGAATTTAAAAATCTTGCATTGTAACAATCAAATTAAAGAGCTTCAAACGATTTTGCGAGACAGGTTGGTTTCATTGAAAATTTCCAAGTCATTACATTATGACGCTTCAGGGAGACTTCAAGGAGCGATTTTAAGTTTTCTGCTGATAGACTTATCCGTTTAGTGATTGAGGAAAGTTTAAATCAGTTGCCTTTCACCGACTGTAAAGTGAAAACTCCAACAAATTCGATTTATGACGGCTTGAAATACAAGTCGGGGAATTGCGGGGTGTCCATTGTACGTTCTGGGGAAGCTATGGAGCAGGGGCTGAGAGACTGTTGTCGCAGTATTCGGATAGGAAAAATTTTGGTTGAGTCTGACGCTGACACCCATGAGGCTAAAGTGGTCTATGCGAGGTTTCCAGAGGACATAGCCCAAAGACATGTAATTTTCTACTCGAGTTAAATTTACGATTTTTATCAGTCTTTCTACAGGTTTTACTGATGTATCCAATCATGTCAACTGGCAATACCGTCAGCAAGGCCGTCACAGTTTTAAAGGAACATAAAGTTAAAGAAGAAAATATTATTTTAAGTAATTTATTTTGCACACCCGCCGCTGTGCAAACTGTCCTGGAATCGTTTCCAAAAGTGGGTGGAATTGTTACTTACGAACTGTGTTAATGATTTGGTTTCAGTTGAAAATGCTGACTTCGGAGGTCCATCCAGTGGCGCCGAATCATTTTGGACAAAAGTATTTTGGTACTGATTAAACTAAATAATTTCAAAATTGTGATTTATACTGTTAGCATTTATTTTTTGTTAGATTAACCAATTTGCACATTATTTATGTTTGAGTTATATGAGAATAGTAGAATAGTTTAAGACTAACGCTTTTATTTTTCAATTTTTTAGTCTCATTTCTGTGGTTTAAGCTAGTTTGTGTAATTTATTTGTTTCTTGTATCTTGCAGTTTTCTGTTAATAAAACAATACAAAAATTAAGCTGTGTTTAATTGCCCTACCTAAAAAAGCTACTAGATAAAGCATTAGGTACAGTCGAACAAAGTGAAAATGACGCCTCAATAAACCATCCCCTGCTGTGGGTGCCGACCCTTCTAACCGCAAGCAGGCAGGGTCGTAAATTACCGCATTGCAAATTTGACGTAGTTTCAAGATAAATTCCTTTAGGAG